ATAGTAGGGAGAAACACTGATCCACTGCTCTCGAGTTTTCAGTGGCTCTTCAAATGACTTCATTCATTTATGTATACTGTCTTGAAATCAAATGATTGCGAAAAACCATGAAAAGAATCATTAAATATAAGTTTGCATACTTTAAACTCCGGTTTGTCATAACTTAACAAAAGCTGTTAACACCAAATTGTGAAAGGTCAGTTGGACAACAGTGTTTTGTCTTTCATTGATTGTGAAGTTGAAATATCAAAGTAATAAATATTTACGTGTTGTTGGCTAACTGTTGCACCACCTGTCTCGTAGGTCCTGTTATGCAGTAAGGTTTGACATTCAAATTAGTCGTCGAATCAAATGCCTGTCTATCTTGTGAATGAGAACAAAATTGAACTTTTTAACTCAACTAGCTTTTCATATGATTTTCTACTGTATGATTTCAGCTAAAGTTGAACTGAATAGGATGAAAAAATATAGGTAACTTAATAAAATCCGAGCGGTTTATAGATAATTGACTGATTTCGAGGTGGTATGAGGTCATGAAGGCTCACTGATTTGTTCTAAGCTATAAAAAAATAGTTATTTGGAGTACCTTAAATTTCAGCTTCTGAAGAAAGATGCTATGAAAATAACTAGTTCATCTGTATTTAGACTATACAAGTTACCTTTCATTATCAGGGTCAGTAGTTGAAACAAGCGTCATAACAGACTTATAGGCATAATAATGTGGCAACTGAAAGTCTGAGGTGACATACAGACAGGTCATAATAAGAGTTCTGAGTTAAATGACGAAAGGCTTAGTGAAGAATCCATCCTTTAACTCATATTTCTAATTTTATCAGTTTTGAAACCTGAAAATCATACGGAAGCTTATCATTTTTTGTCTCTCTGGTTTTTTTCTTAATTTGGTTATTTATTTCAAACATTTAGTCCTACTTCAAAGATACGGTTCCGATTTGTAGATGATACATTTACAGTACTGAGATTTGAACACATCAATAGAATCTTGGAATATATAAATTCAGTAGTGAATGCAACCCAATTTACTTTTGGTTTCGAAAGTGATTAAGGTGAGTTAGCAATGTTGGATCGCAAGATTCATAGAAAGCAAGGCGGAAGTTTGAAGACTAGTGTCTACAAGAAACCTTCCCACTCAAATCCCCACTTAGACTTCAACTCCTCCCACCACATCTCAGTTAAAGTAGGCTCAGTTAAGTGCCTAAGTGATAGGGCAGAAAAAACTTACCAGTAAGCCAGAAAATCTACAACAAGAAATTGGATACATCAAGAATAGCCTGCATTTCAATAATTATCCACCAAAATTTATAAATAAACCCCTAAGAAATAGAAAGGAAAGTATCAGTATTAGTGCTAGTATTAGTATTAATATTAGTATTAGTAGTAGTAGTAGTAGTAATACGGGTGTTATTAGTAACAGTTCTACTACTACTAATAGTAGTAATGGTGACAAGGTTGAGAGAGAATTCAAAGCCTTTGTTGTGCTACCATTCAAGGAAGGCACCTCAGAAGCATTACGAAGAATTCTCAATAAGGCTGGCAATTAAACCAACAAACTCCCTAAGAAACAAGCTTTATGGGTGCAATTAAGCAAAATAATCTGGTTTACCGAATCCCTTTCGGTTTTTTCTTCGACATACACTCAGGTGGAACTTGATTGGTTTGCCTATGGTGTCATTAACTTCAGTACTGAATGATACTATTTTAAGCAGTTATACTGATATCATTCATACCCATATCATATCATTCATGCCCATCATACCCTTACTCTACCCTAATCTCGTTGGTCAGCAACCAATTTCATTTTTGTACTCCTGAGTGCGAATGAATTCGGTCCATCATTTTGGAATGTGACCACTATGCTAGGATGCCCTTCATATGGGTGCACTTTGACAGATGTCAGTTGTTTGGAGGTTATCATCATAATGCTGACTGTTTGCTGACCACTTTATCTGCCTTCTGATATCAGTTCATTAAAGGAAGTTATCACTCAGCCACATCATAACGTCATTTCAATCAGTCATTTCAATAAACTTCAGCCTTCACCAAATTGTTAGTCATAATGATTTTCTGCAGTGCAGATTTTATATTGCTTGTTGATTACCATTCAATTAGGTTTTTTTATAGCGTGAGATAAGTTGACATTCTTGAGATTGTACAGAAGATTTGTAGTCTAGGATGAGGGAATGGCTGTTCAACGTTCCTCGAGCTTTGTATGTTTGTTTGTTTGCTTTCAGATGTTTTATCGCCAGGCTAGAAAAATTTATCAGCACTTACTTTGTATAGTTCTGGCTTACCGTAGAAACCGGACATCCCTCTATGACCAATAGTCTCACTTCTGGGAACCCCAACATACAACATATCAAGAGAACATTCGAGAAAACTGAAACACCTCGTTCAATCATGCGGACATTTCATCAAGTCACCAACAGAATTCTTGGAAAAGATCAAAACCATTAACATAGAAAACGATGAATTAATGATATCCTTCGATGTCACAGCACTATACACATCCATAGAACCTCAATTGCCCAAGGAAACGATATCCCTCCTGATCAATGAAGACAAAAACCTTTCAGAACACACAAAACTCAGATGTTCAAGTCTGATGGAACTCATCGACCTTCGCCTGACAACATACTTCCAATTCAATGACAAGATATACAAACAGATGAAAGGAACTCCAATGGGATCATTGATAACCGGACTAATTGCAGAAGCAGTGATGCAGAGACTGGAAGCCATTATTCTACCTGTGATCAAACCAAAAATTTGGATTCATTATGTAGACAACACTTTTGTCATCATTAAAAAGGATGATATAGAAAACACCCACAGTTTGATCAACAACGTTTTCAATGACATCAAATTCACAATGGGGAAGGAGTCAAACAACCAACTACCATTCCTGGATGTTTTGGTCAGCAGGACAAATGCCGGAAAGCTGGAAACCCAAGTGTACGGGAAGCCAACACAAACTGACCAAATCCTCAACTACAATAGCAACAACCCAACAACACACAAAATCAGTTGTATGCAGACTCTATTCAGAAGAGCGAGAACACACTGCAGCACAACAACTTCACAGAGAAATGAAGAAAATTACTTGATGTCCACCCTGAAGAATGACGGCTACCCACAAAACTTTACCAGAATGTGCCTATCCCGTACAACATCAACTACAAAGTCATCGACAGAAATCAATAAATGCATCATCCTACCATACATAAAGAATATATCAGAAATCACGACAAGATTACTGAGACCACTTGTAATTGGTGTGGCTCATAAACCAACAAATTCCCTCCAAACACTATTATGCAGGCCAAAGGATGCAACAAACAAAGAAGACAAACCAAATATCATTTACAAAATCAACTGCAATAACTGTAGTCAGCACTACATTGGACAAAGCGGCCGCCCTCTTCGCCTTCGTCTACATGAACACCAATTGACTATTAAACGCCATGACATTTCATCACTCACTTCAATGCACGTGAATAATTATGGACATGAATTCAATTTCGAGAATGTAAAAATTTTGGACAGAGGGTATACAAAAAATATCAGAGAATTTCTAGAAGCTTGACATTCAGGTCAGTCAGGAATCAGTAGATGGATAGACATAGACCCGATCTATCAACCAATAAGAAAAATGATAAACGACAGAAAGGTCAGAGGTGAAGCAGAAGAACAGCCAACAGGAAAGTCTATACAATCAATGACACAACAATCGAAAGAAACAACCAATCACAGACCACTTCTTTAGGGCAAGCTACTAAGTTACGGAGAGATACTGACAGTTCACTTAATACTGAAATTAGTGCTGATGGTGTCGTCCAGAAAGACGATGAAAGCTTCACGATTAAACTACCCAGCTCGGAGAGCACAATGCAACCAAGATTTAAGCAGCTTTTGGAACTTGTTCTGTAGAACATACTTGCCTTATTCTTGGGTTGTTGATCGTTTCGCTTGGATAATATTTTCTGGAAAGATTTAGTTACTTTGTGTGCTACAGAGATATCAAATGGGTGAGATTAAAGATTAACAGGTTTTGAGATACTTTGATATATGGCAAAATGATTTGTTTGTAGGTTGTGGTAATTGTCTTGACCCCGTTCTGTTGAAGGGCCTTTCTTAGTGTTGTCAAATGGATAGCTATTGACTTTGAACGCTTTATGAAGGTACTTTTATACTAACTTCTGCAGTTGTTGAGGACTGTGGGGGAGTAATGATGAGGTCTGTAAAAGTATGGAGCGATTTGTGGCTATTTCGTTAATGATGATTACGACATGAATAACAATTATCTGCCTTTTGAAACTTGAAGTTTCCCCTTTTAAAATTGAGCGAATCTCAAGCGAAGATTGCACTCAATTGGTTTCAAAGTTAGAGTTGACACGATAAAGAAAATAAAGTTTAAGCGATTTGTGAAAAATGACGGCAAAATGATGAAATTTGAAAGGCTGGTAGGTATGGTAGTAGACCTTATTCCACACCTAGTAAAATAAACAGGCTGAAGGCTACTTGTCAAGTATCTGTGTCATTCGTCACACTCTAAACATTTAATATAACAGCATAAGAATTCTTTGATAGACACTACTGAATAATTAAATTTACACCTTCAATCTCAAGAATCTTTGTCATCATTTGCTTTATTTTGGTTCCTAGCGTCTAGAATTAAAGTCTTTTCTTAGCAGTAAACATGCTTTCAATGAGTGCATGATATTACCAACTATTTACCCGTTTTCATGGATTAAAGCATGAATAGAGGGACCATACTAAACTTCTAGTATACATTGTAAAACAGACTAGAATTTCTAGAAATGTTTATTTCCAGTTAACTATACCACATGCAGAACAAATACTCCTATCTTCAAATGCAAGTGCAAGAAATTTGACCTATCATGTTAGGCCATTTCAACAACGAATAAGAAAGTAAATACATTTCTTAATAGTATATAAGATTGTTTACGGAAAAGGTGATTATCATTTCTTTGTTTCATAACTAAATCCAATGTCTCTGAAGTGGAATTTCTCAGTTGCAAAATATTCAGCCACGAAACAATTAACAGTTATACTATTGATATCAATACTCTTCACAAATCCCGTGAATAGTGGAAGTTTCAGGGATTTGTTCTCAGATCATGTCTCTTCTGAAAAGTGTGGGTATAATTCGTGTCCAGTGGGAGAATCAGGCCATATTAATGTTCATCTAGTACCACACTCACATGATGATGTCGGGTGGTTAAAGACAGTGGACCAATATTATTATGGAGCCAATAATTCAATTCAACGTGCTAGTGTTCAGTATATCTTAGACAGTGTGGTAAGAGCGTTAGCTCATAGTCCAGATCGTAAGTTCACTTATGTTGAAATGTTTTTCTTCCATCAATGGTGGATCCTACAACCGAAAGAAATACATGAATTAGTGAGAGAATTAGTGGAGTCAGGCCAATTACAATTTGCTCTAGGTGGGTGGAGTATGGCAGATGAAGCAACAGTGTACTATACAGATGCTATTGACCAACTCACGCGTGGGCGTGATTTATTGAAACAGCTGTTCGGTGAATGTGGTCTTCCACTAGTCGCTTGGCAGATTGATCCATTTGGGCATTCACGTGATCATTCTGACTTATTCCAGGAGGCTGGCTTTGATGCTGTCTATTTTCAGCGTATGGATTATCGTGAGAAACTTAAACGGAAAGGAACGAAGGAATTAGAAATTCTATGGGATACAACTTCTACCAAAACTACTAAAACCAGCATTCCAAATAATAGTACTTCGAAAAATAATGAAGGATTTGGTTTATTCACTGGTATGTTTTATGATACATACTGTTATCCAAATGAATTTGAATACGATGAACGGTATATGGCCGATCCAATTATAGATGATCCATACGTTCCAGGTTACAATGCCGATGATATAGCAACCAAATTTATAGATTACGTTCATAGGATATCCAAAGCATTTAAAACAAATGATGTTATGATACTAATGGGATGTGATTTCACATATGAAAATGCCAATATGAATTATAACAACATGGACAAGTTGATTAGACATGTGAATAAACAAAAAAGGAAGGGGAGTACAGTGAATACCTTCTATTCAACTCCAGCGTGTTATACAAAAGCAATAAATAAAGAATTCAACAGAATTGGTACCATTACTAGACGTAGCGGTGATTTCTTCCCTTATGCAAGTGGTCCCAATTCCTATTGGACTGGTTATTATACAAGCCGACCAGCACTAAAGTACTATGTGCGCGAGGCATCAAATTTGCTGGCAATGTGTGAACAGGTTAGTGATTTTCTTCATGAATTATGAACACTTTATCAATTTGGAATCGGTTTAAGTCGTGAACGGACATAGAAGACTGTTCCTGTCTTTATTAAGCCACTAAAAATAATCTTTTTTTCACTTCAGTGATTGTAAGACCTATTTTCAACCAAAACCTTGTATTTCTCAACTTTATTAAGTGGCTGGCTTTCACTTTGGAATAAATGGCAAGTGTGATACTGCATTTTCAAATAACCTAGTCTGATCTCCTCAGTAAATTGTTAGTAAACTGAAAGATATTGACAGTTGAAGATAACAATGCTATGGTTTGACGCTGAATAGCACAAAATATAATTGATAGAACTGTATCTTACATATCTTAACACTTACACCAAGTGTGTGTTGCATTTGTCTAACCTAAAGATTAGCAGCGGTGATTCGACTTTCTTGCTGATTTCATCCTCCCATTGTTATCAGTATATCATTTCTTACATGTAAGATTAATTACACAAATCATTCATGACCATTTTGATAGCACAAGTAGAAATATATGTGCACAACTGAGGAGTTCCAAACTAGGAAACAAGAGCTATTCAGAGCACTCAGGGTTTTAGTTCATGGTGAGATTTGTTTGAAAATAGTGAATATTCTAATTATCATATCTAGTAATCATATGAATTTGTAATGGAGTAATTAATTATTTACACCCGGGTTAAGTTTGATCTACATAAATGTAAACTTTATAATAGTAATATTTGTCATTGTATTATAAATGGAATTATTTCTTTTATTTTTGAATAAACTAAACGAGAACTAAATATTGCTTCATACACTAATCACAGACTTAAATATTGAGATTTTTAAGTTTGCAAAACTTCATTTTATTCACAAAAGATAATCGTTTCGCAATCTGACAGAATTTAGAAACTGAAAAAATGAACAGTATAACCATATTAGGAAGGAAGAGGAAAAAAATTAGGAATTGATCTAGACGAATACATGCAAGCTAACAGAGGAGGAAGTGGAAGATGGTGGAGCAGATGATGAACCAGTACAGTGCAAGAATGAACAACGAAAAGAGGAGCTGAATACAAACTACAAAACACTGGACAGAGATGTGAAGAAGAGTGGACGCAAAGAAAAAAGACACTTCTACGACACACTGGCAAGTGAAGCAGAACAGGCTGCAGGTAAGAGAGACAGAGACCTGACAACACTAGATCAAATAACCAGGTTACTATCTGGGAAGAGATCAATACAGATGAGACCAATGAAAGATAGTGAAGGAAACCTAGTTAGCAAAGAGTAGAAACAAAGGAAACGATGGCCTGACCACTTCAAAATACTCTGGTGTCGACCACCACCACCACCTGCAACTCGTCAAGAAATACCACCAACAGCCCAACCACAGAATTACCAGTGAACACAAGCCCTCCAACAAAAGCAGAAGTGAAGTCCTGAATGGCATAAAGCTGCTGAAATTCGGAAAAGCAGCAGGACCAGATGGAATTCCACCAGAAGCACTGAAAACACACGCAGAGACAACAGAGAACATGCTCGTACCACTACTGCAGACGGTTAGAAAGTAAGGGAAGGTATCTGGCGATTGGAAGATGGGCTACCTCGTCAAACTACCAAAGAAGAGCGACCTAAGTCTTTTCAAAGTTTGAGACGGAATCATGCTCCTGTCCCCACCCACCCAAGCAAAATATTGAGCCACATCATCCTGGAGAGACTGAACAATGTTCTACATTCAAAATTGCGACGGGAACGGGCTGACTTCGAGAAGTACAAACCATGTGCGCATCAAATGGCGACGCTACTCTACACATCATTATAGAACAGAGCATAGAATGGTAGTCAACTCAACTCAACTCAAGTCAAGTCAACCTCAACTTCATCGACTTTGAAGAGGTCTTGAACCGAGGCGTCGACCGACAAGTAATTTGGGAACTGCTTCAATGCTACGGTTTCAGTTCCACAAACCTTTATCAACCTGATTCAACACCAGCTACATGCTATGCTATATGATGCTACATGCCAAGTGATTCACAATGAAAACCGAGTGACGCCTTTGAAGTGAAGACAGGAGACAGGAAGGAGTAAGACAAGGTTGCCGCCTACTGTCACCGATCATCTTCCTGATTGCGGTCGACTGGACTAGACTGGATCGTGCAGGAGACGACCCGTGAGGAGCAAGAGGATGGACATGTGCTGGCTGGACCGATGAAAAGACCCCAGGAGAAGATTTGGATTTCACCGATGATGATTTATATGCAATGTCTTGTCGCACAAACCCGAAGATCTACAGGTGAAAACCAACAAGTTGACAGAAGAGGTGAGGCAGTGGAGATGGAACTTCAATCAGGTGGACGTGGAGAAGATGGAGGTGATGAAGATACTCACTCAACAATAGCAACAACAACAACGACAAGGACAACAGGCACCAATCACCATGAACTGGAGAAATCTAAAGGAAGTAGTCTCTCTCACCTACCATCTAGCCGCCCAGCATGGTTTCAACTACAGGCGGTGGCACAGACGAGGATGTCGAAACCAGGATCGGGAAGACAGCAAGACAGGCCTACATCAATCTGAAGCCAGTGTGAAGATCTATTGCAGTCAGCACAAAGAACAAGATCTTGATTTTCAACACTAATTCAGTCAAGTCAGTCAGTGCTTCTATGTGATGGTTGAGAGACTTGACACGTCACGAATAGCACTTACAACAAACTACAGACATAAATCATCAACAGCTGCCGTCTGCTCTCACTCGATACTGAAGATCAGATCAGATCAGATCAGATGGCCAGAAAGAATAAGCAACAAGGAACTCTGGTTGGGCAACGAACCAACCAACCAAGAACCCATCACCCAACAAATATGCAGAAGTAAATTAAGATGGATTTGGCACACTCGCATTCATTACATTGAATTTGATGGGCTGGAATATTTCTCCTAATTGGTTCTGTCGGCACGTCAGAATAGCGGGATATTGGAATTTAGCTGAATATAGGATGACAGCCCCGAATATGATCAATAATGTATTAAAAATCTTGGCTGTTGCAATTTATGCATTAACACACCACCACACATTTGTTTTGGTGAGATGAAACCTCTGTACTTATGTCCAATATAAATAAGTTGAGAGGGAGAGATTGAGTACTGAATCTTTGTTCATGGAATTAACACCCAATACGTTTAATAGAGATGACGCAGCACTTATACCAGAGTTATGGAGAATTTTACTACCAATAAAAACAGATCATATGTGCTGACGTAACTATAAAAATCAAATATCGAAAGTAGTGTGATGACATTGACATGACTATGAGCAATAATTATTTATGCTCGAAACGTCATCAAGTAAATAATACTACATCACTATGTTTTATGGATTAAATAAACAAATCTAACATAGAAAATGACCAAGCTTTAGAAGATGTCAAAGTGTAAATAAGTCACACCCTTGTAACTGAGTTTTAGCCATTTCACCGAGTCTCCTGTCATCTCTAGAAATCCAACCAGGCAGTATACATCTCACTACACAACTGAGATCAGAGGCCTGATACTTCACCGACTGCTGCCACATCTTGGTCTGGCCACCTGTAACCTTTTCGCAGCGTAATCCAACTTCTAGCATTGCACGTCGAGATAGACGGTTGCTCACCATGCGCAACAAGCCAAGCCACCTTAGTCAATGAAAGTCCACAACCTTATCGATCAACTTGCCAGCCTTGTCTAGTTCCCTTCACCCAACCCCAACAATCTAAAAATGGTGGTGTTACTATAAGGGAGAACTGCTACGAAGACTTCTGCGTTCCAAAGCCTTTAGTATTCTCATATCTCCCAGTTTTAACGGCAATGTTTTGCAACCGTATACCAGAATAGAATGGGCTGCAGTGGGGCTTATTTATCCTTTAACAAGTAGCCGGATATTTCGCCAGTTTTTATCAGGGACGACACAACCTGGAAAATGCCAGACGAGCCTTCTCTACCAGCCCTGAGATTTTATCAGCAACCAGCTTTTTAAGGCTGATGTGACTCTCCAAGTAAGTGAAGTGGTCGACACATTCCACCACCACTTTATATTATTAAACTAGGATTAGTTCCAGATCAGTAATGGAGCATCACTTCAAGTTTGACAGGAGCAGAGAGCCTGTTAACACACTCAGATTTCTGCTCAACGCCTCCAGAAGACCCTGCATTTTGTCAGCTTCTTCCCCAATCATGGCAATGTCGTTTGCATACTTCAAGTCAACCAAATGACCTCCAGGGAGTAGATCAATCCTTATGAAGTCAGACGTACCTAAGGTTGTTTCCATCAATACATCTTTTACAAATAAGTCAGAAACTCTGAAACTGAGCATCCTTTGTGGACACCATTATTCATCGTTAATTTAGATGAAAAGTTTCGATAAACCCTTACAAGGCTGAGTGACTTCAAGTAGACAGCTTTGGTCAGTGTTAAATACCTTCTCACAGTTAGACACTGCCACAACACCTTATAGTCGAAAGAGTCGAATACCGCCTTCAGGTCAAGAAATATGGGAAGTGTCGGCTCCCGGTAAGTCAGCCTGTGTTCCGGACCTATCGAGGAGTAAAACGTTGATCGATGCAACCCCATTCAGGTATGAATGCTGACTGCTTTCCTCTAGTTTACGATTTTCGAAGAAATATCATCATCAAGCTCAGTGGTGTAACTCAGTCTTTTAGTGTAGTTTATCGACATTAGGCTACAATAAATTAAGTTAAACAGGTGGAGTGGACATTAATTTATGTGCAGTGTTTTCCTGTCTGAATACATATTGAGAAAGTCTATAGGTAACTAATGACTATCATGGGTTTTAGGGCATAACACAAATCTTTTTACAGGTAAATTTTCCTAATCCGTTACTTTACAGTGATGAAGCATCCTTTGTATATGGGGCAGTTGAAATGCAACCGAAAATTTTAAAAAGAGTAACTTTTCTCAGCTTACTTCATTTTGAGTATTCAGAGTGACTTTGAAGGTTTGTAGAACACCATGTTATAAATGATGCATTCTAGGAAGATTTAGTTATTTTGAGGTTCAGAAAAGATAATAAGGATAACTGCTTGTAATATCTGAGCTTCAGTCAAAACTAACTTTCTTAAGATAGATTATACTTATTTGTTAATTCAGTATTTAAGTCCTATTTGATTAAGTACTGATGGGAAAGACATCGAAGTTTTGCAATCTGCAACAGTAAAACAGGATAATACATTAAATTAGCACCTAATAGAACCACTTGAGGCTGTCAGCTGGGAAGGTGTACGATGAAAACGAGTTAGATATATAAATTGAACCTGCACAGTATATATTTTCAACCGGCCTTTGTGTGCACAGGCCAGCTATGTGAAGTGCCCATGAAGTTCCAGTATTCCTTTACATTTTTATGCAAGACTGAAGTACCAAAATAGGTAAACATACAACCAATTGGGGCATAACATCAGCTGCAAAAGAAACTATCCAGTGATGCCACTGATTTCATCCACCAACTATGTAAGTTTATTAGTCATTTAATACAGAGTCAAAACTGAATGAGTTGACTGACAACATAAAAGATGATGGCTGTGGTCAAAAACGAGTTTTTCATAAGACTGATAAGCATTTTTCATAGATTATTGTGAATTAACACCGACATGGACAGGATGATCAATGTGTAAGTTATACCAAAATTCTACTGTCCGCTTCGACATCTGTAACAGCTGATTACCTTTTCAGTTCCCCAGCTGTAGTATCAACAAGGTCTCATTTGAAGGTCACTCAGCAAAAGTTGCAAACTGTGACCTGTGACACAAAAGTATAATGAATTATCGAGGTATACTACTGAAAAGTATGACTGATGATCTATAGATTTTGTTAACAAGATTAGAGTGATATAAACACTTGATTGGTTTGAACAACTTGACTGCCTCTGTGAATATGGTTGATGAGCTAGGCCTCAAACAAGCAAATGGTGTTTGTATCACTCTAGAATGGCCGGTGAAATTTACCGATAGGTGTGAGTAGTGTCTAACTACTCATGCTATCAAGCAGTATATTTTGTTAACGTCAGGATATTCGAGTGAAATCTTGAATGATACACAAAGATGGCATACATCTACCTAGGGTTGAAGATACGCTCCATTAAGGCTACCCAATTTCGTATCGCCTAATACTGAAGTCTCCTTTAAACGCGTAAGCAGTCTTTCTCCCTACAAATTATGATGCTGGGTGACATTAGTAGCTATCGGCCATTCACATTGATAAGTGAGACCAAAGTGACTTAAACACCAAACTTGGTGTTTTGGAAACACGTGATTTCATTCCAGGTGTATATTTTTAAAATTTTATTTTCATGATTTTCACAAAATAGGTCCATTTGTTCGCAAACCGTATTTCGAATATGCGATCAAAAATGAAAACAGAAGAAGAAGACAAAGATGAACAAATTGATTTATTACGTAGAGTCCTCGGTGTTTTACAGCATCATGACGCTGTATCTGGTACATCGAAACAGCATGTTGCCAACGATTATGCCTGGCGTCTACACAATGCCTCGAAATCATGTCAAGCTTTGGTGAGCAATTCGTACTTGAAGTTACTAACCACTTTGAAAGAGAATGTAAAGCAGGACTCGAACCTGACATTTTGTAATCTACTCAATATCAGTCTATGCAGTGCAACTGAGGGAAATAGTCCACATTTGCAAAAATCAAATGGCGATAATGGTGTCTTTGTTCTTCTATATAATTCATTAGGCTGGGAACAGTCAAGCGTGTGGATTCGTTTCCCAATTTTTATTCCACAGAAGGATGGTGATGCTTCTAATGAGTTTCAAGTTATACTAAAGGATCTACGAGTGAAGTCAAGAGAAGCTGAAAATTTACCCTATCAGTTGAATCAAATAGACAATAGAACATTAGGTATACCTGAGAGAAAAACACTTTCACATGAAGCAAATTATGAATTACTGTTCAATCCAACACTACTGGCTCCGTTCGGTTTCAGTTTGTTTTATTTTGCAGTAAATCTCACATCATCACCACCATTGACGACTTTATCATCAGTGCCTTCAGAGAACCAATTTTTCATTTCAAAGAAGACTGCACTGCACGTGCAATACAAAGAAGGTGATAGTACCGTGCAGATTGTAAAGCAGCATTTAGAAAGTGGTGTGTTTGTGAAGTTGAACATTGAATTGATGTATTATGAAGGAGCAGAAAATGGACTTCAGGTGTCTGGTGCATATGTATTCCAACCGAAATTAAACTCAAGTGCAAAGAAGTTTGATTTTGTCACCGGAAAAGTAAGCCGGTAAAAAGTACTTAGTTTAATTACTACGGCTTCATTTGAAATATTCGTGTTTAGGGGATGCAGTTACTTCCGAAAAATAAAAAGTTCTGAACAGACTTTTCGTTTAAATATTGAATCCAACTCCGGAGCTAAGTAAGATTCCCTGTAGAATCTCAATTGAGTCTGTTTCAGTCTCAAGATAATTAAATTCTACAGCATCTAGTCAGGAGCTAATGTTTTTAAATTTTAAGTACACTTATTCCTAAAGGTTCCGGGAGAATTTTCTAATGCATGAACTGACCGAGAGTTAGACACTTGGCAATACTCAAAGGACCTGAGTGTAGGTTTAAAAAGAAGTGGTTTGTTTTGAATTTCTAAAAGGTGTGCCGTTGATAATTCAAATAGATTAGTGGAAGTCTGGTGAACCAGGAAACATAGAACTGTATTCAAAAAGATTTACATAATTACCAGAATGAGTACAACATTTGTTTTCTGGATCAGGGATTCATACTTCTGTAGCCAAATAATGGTATTACTCATTCTTGTATACATTTCTAATTATTGGGAGTATAGGAGAGTATGACTGAGGTACTCGCTATGAACTCAGATATCTTCAGGTTACTCAGATAACTGGTGGGAGTACAGATGGTTTCACACATTCAGCGATTGCAGATGAATTCAGTGTGGTACATCTTTAAAACTGTAAATCTTTAGATAGTAGGAAGATTTCGTCTACCGCCTTCCGTCTTCCTATCTCACTAGTACTGCTAATGATCATGGTACATTTTTGATCAAATATTTACGTCACTAGCATAGAAAGTGTTTTTTAATGTTATTTCCTATTTGAGTCAATTATCGGTGGTAAGTTAACCACAAAAAATGATGTGAACATTTTGGTTTGCTAAGGAAACCCTGACAAAATTATTATTATTAGTAGTAGTCCCTTGGGTTCCTAATGGAACATACGGCTTCAGTAGCACGTCTCCAGTGAACTCTGTTCTCTGAGATCTTTTGAACCTGGTCCCACGACAGCCCATAAGCTCTCATTTCCTCCTCGCACGACCTCCTCCATGTCACCCTCAGCTGGGACACCCAACTCGTCGCTTCCCATTGGGATTCCACTCGAGCAACTGGCCTGACGCGTGATGTCCCCAGTCGGCCTTCTCACTGTATGCCCAATCCATCTCTACTTCCTTCCAATGCGATAGGTTCTTGGTTGGTTCGTTACCAGCCAGATTTCCTTGTTGCTTATTCTTTCTGGCCATCTGATCTTCAGTAGCGAGCCCTGACAAAATTAGATAATCGTATTTGTTTTACTCACTTGTGAATCTTAAACATATTTTATCTGAATATTCAGTGAAGTAAATAAATAAATGAATAAAATTTGATCAAATAAAGTAAGACAATATAACTGTGTTGTTTATTTGAAGTACACTGAGGAACTTGTAGAAAAGTTGCGTTGAATTTAACTTCACAAGTCTGGTTTTTTCTACAGATAAAGAAAACAGCCTTTGCCAAACACAATATACTTCTTTGAATTTCACCATGCTTTCCCCATGCACATAAGAGCCAAGACAATAGCAGAACATATATATATATATATATATATATATATATATATATATATATTTCACTTTTTCATCTTGATCTGATATTAACTTTGACATTAAGTTTCTGAGTAAAATCATTTATTATTATTAGATATCCGTTAGTGAATTCGTTTTCCATCATTTACTTGATAGGTATTTTCGCTAGTCCTTTCTTCCAGCTGAAATAAACAGAAAGTACTGAAATGATAGTGCTAACCTTTAAAATTTTTCTCGTTTGTATGAGATGATTGTCCAACCTTGCTTCCATTCTCTATAATCTCTTCGCACTAAGAATCAAGTTGATCTAATTCATCGGTGCAATTATTGTAACTTTGAAGAAGAAAACTTCCTGGGTTCTAAATGAGCTGGAACAGAATTCCAGTTCACTGAAAAGGTTTGTTGATAGTTTCTTTATTTCAGTATAGCTTTTCCCCACAAGCCAAAGTTAACTAGGAGGGCACTGAAGTCTGGTAAGCACTGACAACTGTTTCATCCAACTTTGGGACTTTTTATAAGTGTGCTTCCACAACCATATAAAAGAGAGAACTTTCAGACATAAAGTATTCTCAAAATCCCTCTATCTAGCAGTTCAGCTTTCGGCTTCATTTAGTGAACCTCATGCAGGTTGTTAAAAGTTCTAATAACAGAATGCAACCACTGATCAGTACGTCAAAGTTTTCAATGGTTCTGTGGTTGATACTGAACTGTGATAGTAGCTGCTTTGAAACAAAACCTGGTTATTCCCTTTTTAATCAGTGATACTAACAGAAGAATGAGTTTTACGTTAATGATGGATAGTGGCTAGCAGTGGAATCCAGGATGCACGTTTCACTTTATTTGGGACTCGTTGGCCTGATGTAACTGCCTTCCAGTGTTGTGAACACCTCCTTACAAATTTGTTGAATACTGATAACATCACAGAGAGAATAATTCAAATGGTCTTGAAGGATGCATCTTGTTACCTAACCAACTTATTAGATTTGAGAACATTTTTACTGAATTTAAAGTTTTCTTTAAAAACTCGTTTAACAAAAATATATTATGATTAATTAAAAAAAACTCGTGATTTTCTTTCATGTGATCACACAATAATCATATCACCATTCATTCTCTTAATAAATTTGAGTAGAACAGTGAAAACTTTTTTTCGCGGAGTAGCATAGTTTCATCATATTTACTTTCTTATTTCTATTCTCATTTTTAGAACACTTGTTGAATCTTTCTACACATGGACAACTTTATTATCAGTCCTTGTATACCTGTTCCCTCAATTTATGTGACTTCGATTTCATAAAATCAGTGTCCTTTTATCATTATGCAGACAGCTTTCTACCAAAATGATTTAAGTGTGTAGACAGACATTTTGATATTGAAATTGTTTTTGGTTGTTAGGAGCTGATGGGAAATTCCAAAATAAAGTGGATCATACTATTCCGCTAAGAGTATTCTTTTCCATTTAGTTATATGAAATTTAACTTGTCTTTTTAACTGAGTAAGTCAGTAGGAAGATCGTAGTTAACTGACTAATTGAGCTATTTGAATCTTTCCGAATATTGTAATTTCTCATACTGATAAGGTTAATCAAGAGTACGTCACTGAGAATATAGGGTAATAAGCATGTAGCAGCATTCGAAATATAGAGTTTCAAAGACACTGACCTAAACAGTTTTTTTGCTGCAAGTCTCCGGATCATGTATCCATCCCAGTAGCTGACAGATCAATGTATTCATGATAATCTGACACACAGAGCTTGACGGGTGTGTATCTTTACATCACTTGCCTATATGAACCCAAGTTTATGGAGCATATTACATGTGCGCTAGTCAAATACACTCACTAGCACTACTCAGTGTGACATTTCAAAGGTAAAGACAAGACTAACTGTAGGTTTATAGTCGAGTAGATAGAGGATTCAAAACATTCAGCACTTCTAGAAAAGTTGAAATTTCCCACAAAATTTCCACTAAACTGTCAAAAGGTGTAAAGTGATGAAATTTCTAAGTGACCAAAGAAACTAACCAATCCGTGTGTCATATCCCTGGCTATGGATTCAACGAAAAACACTGTCACTTTCTTTGCTATTGTCATGAATTTTTAATATTACAATCCTAGTTTCCATTTGAACAAGAAATTTACAGAAAAATATTTTTATTAAGGAGTCGGTTTTTATTCCTTTTATTTAAGACTATCAACTATTCTATGTAATATTCCTTCACTCTGTTTCTAGATCTATGGTAACGGTTCTGTTGGCTTTGACTGTTTACCGTGAACTTTTTGAAACTTCTTCGTCTAATTATACATTTGGAAATTTACGAGGATAAAAATGAGTTTGGATAAAGCAAGAAGGACTAGATTTGCTAAATAAAATGATACCACCTTATTTCACGAGTCCTCTTCAGCTGCACACAGTTTAGAAGTGCAACAGTTATTAGGAACTAAAATATTTCAAAATTAAAAAATCAATAATCTTAAGCTGTATAACGAAATCACTGATAAATCTATATAACGTGTAAGAGAAGGATCTTCCTAGCAAGATCGAAACGTTGAAGAATAATACAAAATATTTGTTTATTTTGTTATTTGTTCTAATATACTACGCCGGGATTACACAAGTGAAAATACATCCTATACAATGTAAGAGAATTTATTGTGAAGAGGTGAGAAATGTAAGAAAGGAAAAATAATCATAAGTAAGGAAGTAACGAGGAGAGTGCAGTTAATCTCTCACACCCCTGGTGAATATAATTTCACCCTGTTTCATTTTCTTTTTGTTTACAGGACTCTTTATTTATAATTATTTTTCCTTTCTTACATTTCTCACCTCTTCACAATTAATTCTCTTGCACGTTATACAACTTAAGATTATTGATTTTTTAATTTTGAAATATTTTAGTTCCTAATAACCGTTGCACTTCTAAACTGTGTTTAACTGAAAGGCATTCGTGAAATAATTTATTCTGCCAAATTTCATCAGTATCGAGATTTATCAAGGGGTCTTAATATATGAAAAATAAGTTTCTTGGTTAGTTAATTATTTCTGCTACCACATCTTTTTTATCTTCGATGGCTACGTTTCGTGGTATCAAAATGATTGGATCTACCACTGAAAAGTGTAATAGAAAGCCTAGCGATCTTGTTATATCATTCTTCAAATGTACTAAGTCTTTTTGTTGAGCCACGGAAATATAACTTGCCACCGAGTTTTTGATAATTAACTTAGTGGGATGTCTCATATTTTTCAATTCATAATGTGTTGTGAAAGCTTCTTTCATGACTTATTGGGCTGAGTAAACGAGCTAAGTGGATTATTTGCTCTGCAATTCAGAGTGGTTATTCTTTACCTGTGTTTAAACCTTGTAACCTTATTTCATGTATAAATTTTAAATCATGGCACTAATAATTCATAGAACAACAGTCAGACTGGATGCGCAGCCAGGTCTTCTCTTCCCAGTATATATCACCATTTAAGTTTCGTAGCTCAGTTGGTACAACACCAGTTCTGTAACCCAAAAGTCGTGAGACAACTAAGACTTTCATTCCACCTTCAATCGTCACCCAATACCAATAGTATCAGTCTGCCAACAAGACAGTAACATTTATAATGTATTTTCCGTGACTTTCTTCTTGAACCTAATCGTTGCAAGGTGATTAATGGACCACTAGTCAAAGAAGTACACGTTACATTTTCTTCGTGGGCATCTCTCGTCTTACGGCTTTATCACGATGGTGAACTGGAAGTTGAGTGGACGGTTGGTCCTTTACCTTCTGACAGAATTGGTCGTGAAGTCGTGATACGCTATACTCTCGACGGAGACAATATCCTGTATAATAAATCAGGTATTTCGAATTATATTTTAAACGTGTGTAGTTTTTATCTATTTTTATCGCATGAGTATTTCTCACCAAATTGTGACTCTTATTTTGACCATCAAATACATCGCCTATCCACAAACTAATAAACGAATTTGCTCGAGTTTGTTTTTCCTAAAAATAAGGTAAGTATAATTTACTGTAGGTTCAAAGATATGAAGTTTATTTCACACATTCTGTTTTAACTTGCAAGCTGAAAGGTGATTTCAGTCAAAACGATCTTCAATACACTACAAAGGATAACCTAAAGGTTAAAAAACTGAAGTAGGATTCTCTATGACAAACTCCCCTTTAAGACGCGTTGATCATGGGATGTAGATGACAGGAAATCACTGTGGAAACGATGCTAGCTTTCATTTATTGCATTATAACAAGCGAGAAAATTCAATCCCAATCCACAAAAGACCCTTTTCAAAGCTAGTTCAATCTTGCCATACAACTGCTCAATAAATTACCACAACAAAAGCTAAGTTGCTTATATCATCTGCGACTACATTCGACAAAAAACGTACGCATTGAGGAGTAAGTTCACTCTAGCAAGTGTGAGAAAGACATCTTAGTTCAAGGAATCTTAGTGGATGGAGGACAAAGCTAACTGAACTTTCAAAAGCAGCCATTGCCAGACTGTGTAGAAGCTAGTAACATTGAATGCTTCCATTCTTATCTAATTATGTAGGAATTCACAGTGATCAGACATACACTAACTTTGTTAGTCATGTCAACTCTTTGCACTGAGGAACTGAGTAAGCTTACTTTTTACATCTGTATAGACTTCTGTAATTATTAAGATAGCTACTGATATCTACTCTTGAACTTTTATATTTCTTTTACCTAGGACTTTTCTTCTTGTTGCCTATCAGCAGTGATCTTTTTACATATCTCAGATTTTTTGAACATACTTTCACGCCTGTGTTAGTGATTGTATGTTGTTCACTCACCCTCCTTCTTGATCACTATGATCTTTTCAAGTTATTTACAAGTGATAACTAGTGGTTGAATTAAAACGGAACACCATTTTCTCCACAAATTCTATTCATACAGTGCACCGAGGACCACCACTTTTTGAATACAGCAACTGCCCGAGGTTTCCACGGTACACATCTAGATAAAAGTTATTACTACTTGATGTAAGTGTTTCCCAAATATTCATAGTTTCCGTTGGAATATATGATCGATTTGTTGATGCGCTTCCTGTCGCCGAAATCTCACAGTATATGACGTACACGCTTTGGTTATCAAAAGAAAAATTAGTAAAATTTTACAATCGAGTTGCAACCAGTTGCGTCATTGCTACCATAGACTGAGAATCGCGCAAACGATAGATTGAATTTTAACTACCTTCATTCTGCGAAAGTTATTTATAATTTTGGGGATCGCAAAACGTTAGCAACTAACGGCCACAATTGACTAAATCTAATAAAGTCTGCCGGTTGAATGCAACAGCGTAAAACGAATAAGCTAAAAGCTTCTGTTAAAAGTTTGAAGTTAGTTTGCAATCGTTAAAGTGAAAGTAGTTTCCGGAAATCTGTTAATTTATGTAAAAATTACCACAGTATTAGTTTGTTACCACTTGTGTCCAGAATATTGGCATCCTTGCAAACTATTTGAAACTTATTACCTTCTAGAATCTTTCTTAGGGATCAATTTATCTAAGCGCCTGGATCGGACACAGGAAAAAGAGATATGAGACATCTAAAAGGGCAAATGACACATACATATAGTGGTCAGTTAGTTACAGATGTCCCTCCGTAGTACAGATTTTGACAGTCTTTTCATTTATCCTTTGAATAATAGTAGTGAGATTAATAATGCGTCAAATCTTCCTTGCTTTATCTGTTTATTTTCAAACTGAACTACTCTGAAACTCTGCAGTTAAACCCCAATGTGTCTTATGTGTATAAGCCCTAACTATGAGTTTAGCTTGCTATTGCTTTGATTTCAGGTTTCCCAGTGTATTAAAAATTTCTTCGGCTGTTGAGATTACCACAAATGTCAATAACAACTTACATCTTACTTATGTACTAAAGTCATTGTTTGTCTTTTTTCAGACCTCATAAATCATTCAAATCAGTTGTTATGATCATACATTAGTTGAAAACTGGATTTATAGATTAAGGTGTGGCAATTTAATATATGAAAGGTTTCGAGTAGTTGCCATTATATTCTGTTTTGTTTTTCCTCTCTAAACATTCAACTAATCAAAACGTGTTTGATAATCACTGATGAGTCTACAAATAAATTTAGTATGACGTAAGACCAACTTACTTCAAAGTGGCGAAATTGTTGATCCATTTTGTCACAGTTGATTATCTTAATAAATTAGCGGTTGCGGTAAAAGTTTCTCCGTAAATTTTAGTTTGATAAACTTATTTTTCATTCAGTTCTGCCGTGAAATAAAGCTGTGCAACAAAGACAATGACAATTATTTGACGTAGAGTAATCTCAGCTAACTGACGTTATAACAGAAGGATTTGGAAAATGTCACAAGCCATTTACAGAAAATTTAAGATCTTAAATAGTAATAAGTTTTAGTTTTGTGAGGTGGTAAAGTAGACAGCAGATTGTACAGAATCTGTGTTACTGGAATACGTAATGCAAATAAGCTGAAGGATATGCAGTTGTCTATCTGAGCCACCAAGATGAAATCGATGACATACCTATAGTGTTGTGCCTTAAGACATTTAAAGGGTCAATCTTAACTCAGATACGTCTGAAATGCTTTCTGTGAGCAATGTTATTATCAACTTATGATATTTAGTGTTCATTAGAACAAAACAACTTTGATGTCACATGTTAACGTATTTACTACTTTTCAAGTACATGTATAAATGTGAGATTGAACTAAAAAGAGATAGGTGTTCATGTCTCCTATTAAACTTATCCCGATAAATCTAAGACTCAGAAGATCACAGAGAAGAAACAGATGGTGAGAAGTATGAAGCAGTGGTCCAATGGTAACAGATGTGGCTTACAAGTCTTGAGTACTCAGAATCGAAATAAATCAGTTCAACAAGTCTTCGAATTGTTCACTTAGCAAGGTGACTCAAAGGTGAAATGGACTGTCTTTCAGTGTTGCTAACTAACTCATGATATCTAACTTCCAATAAATCGTATAGTTTTGCACTATCTTGATCCATAGTGGTTTAAGCCACTAAGAGGTTATAAATTGACTTTTGTATTTAGAGTCAGTTGTCTCAGCGTTGCAGTTCATGAAATACGAATTTTTACCTAATTTCTATTTGATCTTGACTTCTTTAAATCGTTGGTTTTTGCTGAAATCCAGACTTCTGTTCTTAATCATTGCCTTTCCCATTGTTTTACACAACTGCCTTACACAATGTTTCAGAATTACCATTTCAGTTAGTTACGATTCTCCGATAAAATCTACTTTCAGCCATCCTATTTTCCTATTTATTCCTTCAAATGATTAAATTTCAAGGTTATTGAAAGTCTTGACAGTATAATAATATGCATTACAATTTCATACAACTGAACCTCATTAGCTAATGTACAACTAAAAAGAATACAACTAAATACAAAGAATAAGTACTCTGCGAAGCCCATAGTTCTTGCTATATTTAAACTTACAAAGGCAATAAAATGTATGAAAGTTATTGAAATAAGCTCATATCCTTACTGTTAAATGTCTGGTTGTGTGTGCTTAAAATGTTGCCTTCTCAGTTTACTGTCTTTGTATCTTGGGGAAGTCTGAATCACTGCTCACCTGTAGCATATATGCGACGTAAGAAAAGAAACCAGATATCTCAAGTCTTTCAGTCATTGATACCACTGACAAACGTTAGTATTTGCTTGAAAATTTTTGTTGACCACAATCAGAAATTGATGTTATCTCTATGAATCTTGCATTCTTAATGGTTGATCTTTAAGGTCATTTAAAGTTTTGATAAAATACTCATACACTTTCAATTAATGTTATCGGCAGTATAAAACGGATCAATGAGAACATTGTTTTCTGGATAGTTAATGTTTTTGTAGGCTGAAATAAAAATCGTTCTATTAGCATACATTTGATCTGTGGGTTTTCTCTTTCCTTCCAAGTTATTCAACTATGTTTTCAGCTAAGTTAGACTTCTATAAAAATTGTGACGGGTATAAACATATTCCACATCATATTAAATTAAAATCGGTAACTGCCAAGTTAGAAACAGGTTAAGGTGTAAACTATTCCTATAAAAGAGTGTTGATTTGAAGAATTTCGTAGATATGGTAACTGAAGTGCGAAATTAATAATGGTAATAGTCACTTTGATGCCAACAATGCAAATGGTACCACTCCTACGATTGGAGTTACTACTACTACCAATAGTAATAAGGGTAATAATAATGTGAATTCAAGTTGGCTTTCATCTCGGACTAAAATCAGTTGCAGGATGCCAGCATGTGCATGCGGACTTCTCAAACATATCATCTTCTTGACTTACTTAAAATCTATAATTCTTGTCGATCAACCTCCACAACTTGATTGGTATTTTGATATAAAATGTAAACTTATATGTTAGTGTAGAGCTGATGCTGGAGGCCTGACTGAAAGATGATATATTTCTTCAGAAAGTCAGTCCTTTTTTGAATGTCCAGATAGGAATTCTCAGTGTTTTGAAACAGATTTTTCTACTTGTAACCAATATGCTTCCATATTTTAGGTGAATTCTTCACAGACTCATCCGGTAGGCGGTTAATAAAGCGTGTGCGAAATCAGAGAGTTGACTGGAACCTGCCAATAGAGTATGCGGAAGAACATAATGTGACTGGCAATTATTATCCAGTCGTTAACAGGATTATGCTGAAAAACATTCTTCTTCATTCGTCAAACAGTAATGATAGCCATGATAAAATTCAAATGGCTTTAGCTGTTTATACAGATCGAAGTCAAGGTGGAACTAGTTTAAAGGACGGAGAATTAGAATTAATGTTACACCGTCAAACGATGTTAGACGATGGATTTGGTGTGGACGAACCTTTAATGGAAACTGGAGTGGACATGAAAGGTGAGCAATATACAAGTGAAACAAAACTCCCTTAGAGAGAATTGATTTTATGAGACTTTATGTATTTCCCGGTTTCAGTGATATAATTATTCTTATAAGTAAGAAATTGATCTATCAGATAGTTGGACACAATCGGTAGAAAGCCCTGAATCTAGATGTTGCACATGCTAGCATCCGTCAGCAAGGTGAATCTGCAACCTCGGGCAAACCGATGTTCCCTGGTAGAAACTGGTCAGAATTAAGTACGTTATGATCTGGATGGCTTCGTGGTAACATTCGTAGCTGTAGCGATATATTATGCTAATTTTAGTTTCAGAAGTTGGACGTCAATTTCAAAGACGACTGAGTATAAGTGTGTGACTGAACGCAAGTCATTTTTTCCACTGTCTTTAGTGGTTCATCAGTGAATAAAAGAATGAAAGTGTTAAGTCATTTAAACTGGTTACACAATGCACATTGATAAATGAACTTTGGGTAGAAGTGGTGATCAAACTACAATATTCATGACTATCCTATGTCCTAATGTCAAGTTTTTTGGTAGGTGTATTCATTATTATGCAAGTAAGTTTTCACAAGGAGGAGTATATCTAAGAAGATATATGCTAATCTGGACTAGGTAACTCCAAGTGGGGACTCTGATTTAAAGCTTAACCCCCTATTAGTAGGGCATAAATGAAAAGGCAATTGAAACAGAGATTAGAAACTGAGCTCAACAAGTGTAAGATTTCAAATAACTTACCGTAAATGAAATTAGACATCTGCTTCGTGATAACGTCAAGCTGACTCTTTACTGAAGTATTCAAATCTTATCCATTTACTACAGGTCAGTTAATGTTCGTATCATGCTAATTACATGGTTCAGTAATAAAACCCTGGTCACAATTACCATCCTAAACAATCGACGCCATGATTCGAACTGAGAAGTTGGGCCACTATATCTTCCAATGGTAGCCAAAATAGGGTTCAGCAGTTATGCTCATTCAGTTGTATCATTTTCACCTGAAAGTGTAGATTCTGTAAATATCTAATTGACTTCTAGATGGAATAAAGTGTGGTAATTTCACTATTTATCCTACCAAAATCATTTAACCTATTCGTGACAGTATGAAAATCTTAGGTTTTGTGGCTACGAAAGTCATACAATGCTGTTACTGTAAGGGTGAAAATACTCTGCGGGGAAATCATACAAATGCATTGCAGTTATTTGTGTTATGCTACCCTTTAATTTTGAATATTGCAGTTTCTCGATTTGAGTACTAAGAACATTGAGGCAACAAAAGTAACCAAACATATAAACAGCTGGACAGTGCGTACCAAATAAAATTTTGGTATTATGATGTAGTATAATTTTTCTTGATATGATTATGAGCAATGAATCATTCTCAAAAAGTCATGCAGTGAATAATACTGTTTTATTATTTGTCATGGCAAATAAACCTGTTTATTATGGATTCAAATCAGTATGAATATGCTGCCACTGGAATCTGAATTAGATGAGAGGCATAACTGTTTTTCACTTAACTACTAAGATAGGCGTAGTAAGCATTGCTTATAGGCTACGCAACACGATAACGCCAGGTCATCAGGAAGACCAGATTTACCTAAACTTTGAAGAGCTTGGATCTCACAGGCAGTTTATATGTGCAGAATGTTATTTACTTGACTACTCATTGACACGAAACAGTCCCCTGCCTTAGTTAAAACCTTATTTTACCTCAGTTCACTAGGGGACCTCTTTATTTTGTCAAGTAATGCGATATATTCAAGAAATTTTTCCTAGTCAAAAATAAAGCGATTGAAAAGACAAAATGGATCGCGGAATGCAGAAATGTCGAATGTTCTCGACTTATTAACCTCTTGTAAGGTTGAAAGAAAGCCTGAAAAAAAATGAGGGTTTGAAACCATAGCGGACACTTTCTTCACTAAATATTCTACAAAGTGGGGGAGAACATTTTAAATGCTGACCAGATTCCAGTTTCAATTCAGTACCAAACTATTATGCATCAATTATTAGAAGGAAAACGCATGACTATCTGTTCACCATTATCACACTAGTTCTCCAACAGTTCAGATCTCAGTCAAATGTGAATTAGTTTAATCTGGAAGAGAGAATTAAATAACTGATTGTTAGCTATGTATCTAACATAACTCCACAATTTGTGGAGTGACATGATATGAATATGGACAATGAACTATTTCAGAAACGTTGTCCAGCAGACGATACTTTTTCACTCCGAAACATTTCCAGTGAACAGACTAGAATGGATTCTTTAGTTAATTTCAATCTATGACAAAGAATAGAATGTTTCATGTTTTCTAGTGAATACCGTCACATAAAGGCAATCACTTTCTTGGAGACTAAAACATGATATGTTATGTATGCTGAAAAACATTTGATAACGATTGAAAGTTGACCTTCGAGTTTCAGTTCACTGGTTGCTTGATTCCTCGAGAGAAAAATGACAGTGAAACAATAAAAGAAGCATTTCAAGGTCAAGTATGTGCAAACTACTCATCTGTTTGCATGATTGCAGGTGGCCTTGAAGTTTAGAGCATCCTAGAAGATTGTAGCAATCAATTTTTGCAAACTTGCATAGTCAGCCAGTTACATTTATAATTGTGTAACTATTTGGCAACTTTTTTGTAGTATAAATGATTTGGAATGCTTTCTGTGATTTCCTGCTTAATAAGGATTTTATTCTCAACAGCACCACTGTGAAAGATACTAATTATTCCAACTGTTCGTTATCTAAAACACACTGGAACGTAATGCTAGATTACTGAGTTTGGTAATCGTATCTTGATGAAAACTGAAGGTTACAAATCGTAACACCAACTTATGGATACGAATTGACGTTTCCCAATAGATTTCATTGAAATCGTTTCATTCAACGGTGTATGTCAAACAAAGACAGCCTGAGCTCACTTGTCATACAGCGAGTTCTGATAAAGCAGCAAACTCAATTGGCTGAAATTTAATACTTGGTGATGGGAAATTTTAATCTTTGCAATAAAGCCCAAATTTACAAGTAACTTTCCTCTTCACGATCCCAATGTGTCATATATTTCTCTTTATATATCTCTCCCACATGAAGTAGCCTTATTTCACCGAATGTTTATCAGCTGGCTGTAATCGGTTCTTATTATTACTATTATTAGTCCCTTGGGTTCCTAATGGAACATAGGGCTTCAGTAGCACATCTCCAGTGACCTCTGTTCTCTGAGATCTTTTCAACCTGGCTCCACGACAGCCCACAAGCTCTCATTTACTCCTCTCACGATCTTCTCCATGTCACCCTCATCTGGGACACCCAACTCGTCGCTTCCCATTGGGATTCCACTCGAGCAACTGGCCTGACGCGTGATGTCCTCAGTCGGCCTTCTCAGTGCATGTCCAATCCATCTCCACTTCCTCCTGCATATTTGTTCAGCGATAGGTTCTTGGTTGGTTCGTTACCAGCCAGAGTTCCTTGTTGCTTATTCTTTCTGGCAATCCATCTGATCTTCAGTAGCGAGCCAGCATAGGCAGTTGTTGATGAATGTCTGTAGTTTGTTGGAAATCCCTTTCGTAACGCACCAAGTCTCTGAACCATACAGAAGCACTGACTTGACTGACATTGGTGTTGAAATTCCGGATGTTGTTCCACATGCTGAGTGCAGTGCAGAAGATCTCCATACTGGTTTCAGGCCAATGAACACCTGTCTTGCTTTTCCCATTCTGACTTTGACATCCTCGTCTGTGCCTATGCTGCCTGTAGTTGAAACAGTGCTTCCTAGATAGGTGAAGGAGGTTACTTCCTTTAAGTTCCTCCCGTTGATGGTGATTGGAGTTTGTTGTTGTTGTTGTTGGTGGTGGTGGTGGTGCGGTATCTTCATCACCTCTGTCTTCTCTATATTCACTTGAAGTCCCGTCTTCGCTGCCTCTTCTGACAACTTGTTAGTTTTCGCCTGTAGATCTTCAAGTTTGTGTGACATCAGGCACAAGTCATCGTTGGCGAAATCCAAATCTTCTAGGTTTTTCCCGCTGTCCAGTGTATGCCCCCCTTCTCGTTCCTTACTGTTTGCTGCATGATCCAGTCAAGTTGACCACAATCAGGAATATCATGGGGGATAGTAGGCAACCTTGTTTCGCTCCTGTCTTCACTTCAAAGGCGTCAGTGAGCCTCCCATTGTGGATTACTTGGCATGTGGCATCTTCATATAGTTGTTGAATGAGGCTGATAAAGGTTTGCAGTATTTCGTAGCATTGAAGCAGTTTCCAAATTACCTCTCAGTCGACGCTGTCAAAGGCCTTCTCAGAGTCGATGAAGTTGAGGTGTGGAGTTGAGTTGACTGCCATTCTATACTCTATTCTATTATGATGCGCTGTGTAGCGTTGCAATTTGGTCCACACATGATTTGTACTTCCTGAAGCCTGCCTGTTCCGGTCGTAGTTTTGAATCCAGTGCATCCTTTAGTCTCTCCAGGATGATGCGGCTTAATATTTTGCTTGCTCTGGGTGGACAGGAGGGTGATTCCTCGCCAGTACTTGCAAACACTGAGGTCTCCCTTCTTCGGGAGTTTGACAAGGTAACCCTTCTTCCAATCAACCGGCAGGTACCTTCTCTTCCTTCCACACCTTCTGCAATAGTGGTGTGGTGTGGTGTGAGCATGTCCACTGTTGTCTCTGCGTCTGTTCTCAGTGCTTCTGGCGGGATCCCATCTGGTCCTGCTGCTTTCCCACATTTCAGTAGCTTTATGGCGTTCAGGACTTCCACTTTTGTTGGAGGATTTGTGTTCACTTGTAGTTCAGTGGCTGGGCTGTAGGTGGTATTTCTGGACGAAGTGTAGGTGGTGGTCGATTCAAGAGCTTCTTGAAGTGGTCAACCCATTGTTTCCTTTGTTTCTCCTCTTTCGTAATTAAATTTCCGTCATCATCACTTATTGACTTTGTCTGCGTTGATTTCTTCCCAGATAGCAACCTGGTTATTTGATACAATGTCATCAGGTCTCTCTTACCTGCAGCCTGTTCTGCTTCACTTGCCAGTGTGTCGTGGGAGTGTCTTTTGTCTTTGCGTGCACTCTTCTTCACTTCTTTGTCCAGTGTTTTGTACATTGTGCTCAGTTCCTCTTGTCGTTGAGCGTCCTTGCACTGGTTCATCTTCTGCTTCACCATCCTCCTCTCCCTCCTCTATCAGCTTCCAGGTATCCATTGAGATCCATTCCTTGTCTTCTTTCTTCTTCCTTCCTAATACTGTTGTGCAGGTTTCTTTCCACATCTCTTTCAAAGACTTCCAGTGTTCTTCCCCACAGGGTTCTTCAGGGATGTTCCTCGATATCTCCCATTTTGTCTTGATGGCTGGCTGCCGTGAAGATCTCCTTTGTAGTTTCATCCTTCAGTTTCCGAGTGTTGTACTTGAATTGAGGTCTATCACCAGCTTCCTCGAAGGCTTTCAACTTGATTTGGAAGGTTCCTTGCACCAGATGGTGAGTGGTGTGAACCTACATCTGCTCCTCTTCTTGACCTTGTGTTAAGTAGACTGCGTCTCCACTTTCATGACATTGAAATGAAGTCGATCTGATTTTTAGTGTGTCCTGTTGTCTGGTGAAATCCATGTCGCTTTGTGGATATCCTTGTGCTTGAACACACTGCCTCCAATCACCAAATCGTTGAATGCACAGAATTCTGCAAACAATTCTCCATTCTCGTTCACCACCTCACCGAGAGCTTCTCGACCCATGGTTAGTTCTCTTCCTGTTTTGTCCCCCCCTCCCAGTTTGGCATTCATGTCGCCCATTAGAATTTTGAAATCGCCAACTGAGGTGGTGTCTTGTCCAGTGTTGATTGAAGTTGTCTGTAGAATTCCTCCTTTTTCTCTTCATCTGCATTATTTGTAGGTTCATAGTGTAGCATTGTATGATTGTGGCCTTCCTTCCTTTTGAGTTGAATCTTGCTGTCATGATGCTGTTCCTGCAAGAGAAGATTGGTTCACACTGCATGAGAGCCTTCGATGCTGTTGGGGACATCATGATAGTCACTCCATAACTCAGTGTGTTGTGCTCGTGGTTGTCGTCTGGGTGACAATATCGGAGTAGATTATTGATTCTGCAGTTGTCAGTTTGGAGAGTCCACTCCCATTCCATCTGCTTTCGCAAATTCCAAGCACTTCAATGTGATACCTTCTCATCTCGTTTGCAATCTTGGCTGACTTGCTGGGTTCAAACATGGTGTGGACATTCCGTGTCCCCACGTTTACTTTCACTTTCATTGAGAGAAGACATATCGGCCAACTGGCTTCCCGAAGGCTTTCACCAACTGGCGTCATTTCCCCTCTCCGATTCCAGTGAGGAATAGTTATGTTATTATTTTTTATATATCGTTTGTGCTTTGAAATTTCTTTAGCGGTTAGATTTGTTTTAGGGGTAGGATTGCTAGCCGTATGCCCAACCTTCCCTGTTTACCCGGGCTTAGGACCGGCTAGTAACTAGTGAACTAGTTAACCAGGCGAGGTTGTAATCAGTTCTTATGTTTTGTGATATCATTCAATTTGCTACTTAAAAGTATTCATTTAAGTAGCCTTTATCACAGTGGTTTTCGTTCATAACTATCCATCGAAAACAAATACCGAGGAAGTCTTTTCGAATCTAAATAAAAAATTCCATTCAACCATTGAAGGCAATATTCTTTTCACGCTTCTGTTTTCTCTAATCATAAAGGTCTAATCGTTCGAGGTGTACACCGAATAAGATTAGATGAACTGCAGGTAATCGAATCTGAAGATAGAAGAACTGCTCAAGTTATGAGACGACCAATTATTCCACTCTTTGTACCATCTAATAAACAAGTCTTTAAAGAAGATATCGATGGATGGAGTGCAATTAAAAAATCATTACCGAATCATCTTCACCTACTTAGTTTACAGTCATGGCCACTGAACAAAGCTACTGCACCACAAGCTAAAAGTCAAATTCTTGTCAGATTTGAAAATATAGACGAAAGTTCAGAATTATCGCGAATTGATGTTATACACCTATTTACTGGTATTACAATAACCGATGTGAAAGAGATGGTAATTACCGCTGATCAAATGAGGAAAGATGCTGTTTCACGCAGACTAAAATGGCAACGGAACCCAGTTCAAAACAGTTCACGCCACATTATGAAACTAATTCATCAGCCGTTGTACTGAAAATTCCCCCAGGTAAAATAATGACGTACATTTTGGACTACAAAATCGACAAGATTAAAGATTGTTCACGTTGTCAATAATTAAGTAATATTTAATCATATTTTGTTCAACACTGAGTATGTAATCGTTATTTTGACCCTTCAAAAAATAAGTGATATTGAAAGTCAAAAAACATTTGATTTTATTTATACTTTCTTGAGATTATTTCTATTTTATTTTCCCTTAAATGGAACATTTTTCCTGCTGCGTTTTTCTGAGAAGACGAGGATTTGAACAGTGTGGTGTACGTGAATAATCTTTTTTTATGCTATTTAATAAGACCTGTATTACTGTAGCTGTAAAATTTAACCACTTACATTCGGTTGGACAGTAATGGCTTAGTAGCGTTCAGTCGTTTTATTTTTCTATAAATTACGACGGATCCCTAATAACCAAGTTTCATAGTCAATAAAAAGTGTTTCATAAAGTTATTAATGCTCAGTATATGTTTGAACCCATATTCTCCGCGTCAACCATTGAACCTTATTACTGCAAAAACAGGGTGCACTGTTTACTTGAATCCTAAACATGCATATCTGTTGTCATATTGATTTATTTCAAACAACCACATTAGAAAATAACTGATTTCCGATTAATGGGATATGGATTTTAATCAATATTCAGTGAACATAAGTTACCAGGTATCTGTATCAGCATATGTAATATTCACTGTTGAGTAGACTTTAATTATACAGTTATTGGATAAAACATGTTTTAATGGATGCATTAAATATATTGGATCCATATAGTACAAAAAGTTACTAGGAGTCAGAAAACAACAGAGAATGCTTTTATCCCGGTTATGAACTCGGCAGCAATGCGGAAACATGATACAAATTCATTTCATGTGTGCAAAGCGCTTTTTTAAATCAAAACTGTCTATGAAATTATTCAACCCATTTCAGTGGGGAAAAAAATGCAAAAGTCATGAAGATTATTTTTGGTGACAGTACAGCAATTTATGCGATTGTTGACAATTAAAGTAGTACTGAAGACAGATTTTAGTGTTAGCCGTTTGAAGATAGGTGACAAGAAGGTATGCAAGCAAATCTCACGGGATGATCAATTTCCTCAAAGACTAAGTTCATAACCCGGACAACATGTGTCAAAAACGTTATTCTACTTCGATATGAAGATAAAAATTCAGATACAAGCTGAGTGGCCAAAACTGATAGAATGAATACGAGCGATAATGAAGTCGAATTTGACAATGCTGGAAGGTGTATAATGATTCAAAAGTCAAACTACGGTTATTAATTGATCCCTGATCACGAAAACAAAATTACTTGTTACTAAAAGTACATTTGAATAATTAGGCATCGCCGGAACAAATAAAAAGATAGATCTTGTAATTAGGATATTCTACGCAAAAGCTGACTTCTTGACAGTATGAGTTAGTGGGATGCTTAACTGTGAGTTGACTATTATTTTATAGGCTGAAGTAGCCACCTATAAACAAACGTTCACTTAAAATAAGGCGACCTACTGGGACTTTGGACTACCTCATTTTACCACGGAATATATTACATCAAATCCCCCTTCCCACACTGTTTTAATCGTTCAGTTATGTCATCTAATTGTAAATGCAAATACATATACATAACAAATATTTATGACACATCTGACTGCATTTTCTTAGACTTGTCAACTTTTACTGACGAATTCACCTAATTTGCTGCTTCGATTCTGGAGGACTCTTTGTCTGTTGTCTGTAGATATTTTAATTCTTGTGACTGCAGTTTTGTTGTATCGCTGAGTCATGAGAATATGGTCAACTTTTCTACTCGTCTTAACACACTAGATTTAGTACTTACAAATGACTCTGGCATATATAAAGCCCGTGACCGGGCTTCGCTACTGAATTTTTCTACTGTATTACATGCGTTTTGCCTAAAGTGTGTGAAAACTTATACAAAAAGGTTTTCAGAGACCTTTCCAAGAAATTGCAGTACATATGCTATTCACAAGAGACTATTCAAGGTGACAGATCACTCTGGCGTTAAAAAACAACTGCTTAACTTAGTCTGAAATACAACGTCTAAATACTATATACAACCAGGAGTTTTCAATCTTTTAGGAACTTTTGCAATATATTGAAATTATTTAAAGACCTTACTGGTAGAAAACAGATAACAAAAGAAGTTTGTTCAGATGTCTGGTCGTTAAACAAGTCATTCAAACATCGGCAAGCTGATTTCCTCCTTCCCAATGTCCAAAGTCAAGTGGACAGCTGCTTTCCAGGTTTTAATACATATGATGTATTCAAATGTCTTAAATTCTTGAATCCATTCCAAAACCTAGGTCCTGATGGTGTTCTGAGTATTATATTTAGAAAATGTGGAGGTATTTTATAAAAACCCCTTAAGAAAATCTTCAATGCATCATTTTCTAAAAACACAACACCCTCTGCTTGAAAGGAGATCAAAGTTCAACCCATGCCTAAGTCATCTTCTGAATCAGATGTTAGATTTCAACCCATCGCTGTACCGTCCCCTCTTTTAAAACAGTGGAAAAATTAATTTTCCTTGTGTTTGAACCTTCATGAAAGCCTTTTAGAGATCCAAAACAATTTGCTTACAAACATAGAAGAAGTACTTTAGATGCAGCCACTGTCTTGGATCATAATATTGATTCTAGTCGAGATGAAAGTGTTAAGTATATTCGTTGTGCCTTCTAGGATTACTCATCAGCCTTTGACTCTGTTCCTAGACTGCTCTTGTTAAATAAGCTTGCCTTAGCTCATACTGAGCCACTGGTTAAAAAGTGGTTGTATTCTTATTTTCCTGAAAGGAAACAGTGTACTATCTACAAAAGGGAGCGCTAGACTTCATTGCTTACTGAAGCTGGTGTGCCTCAAGGTGCTGTACTTTCTCCTTTTCGGTATTCGTTCTTTTTGTACAACATTCCTTATTCTGTTGAAACAAATTTTATTAAGTAAACTGATGACCTGATGGTTTCTGTTCCAGTTAATTCTTACTTTGATTGCCTTTAGCTGAAGGGAATCTTGTCTGTAATTAACCAAAGGTCTCTCTCAGATGGTCTCAAGTGAAGGCTTCCTAAATATCAGACTGTTAATTGAAGCCTCAGGAGTAAAAAAGACTTTTATGAGCTGCTTAAGTCCTATGACGCCTGTTACATTGATAGCATTTCTGTAGAAATTAAATCGAGTGTTAACTGTCTTGCATTGAGATTAACGTCTCATCTTTGTTGGTTATCTCATATCTTGTTGACTTCCAAAAAATCTTTCGTTTAGCATATCACATAAAGAAACTGAGGCTCTCTGATATAACTCAACATCTACTTCTACAATTTATTAATTCCTGGATTCTACCGATTTTTCTTTATTGTTCTCCTTTGACTTAACTTGGTCTCCTTAAAAAGGACCGTTGTATTGCATAAGGCTTTGAAATCCATCAGTAGGATGAGTGCCGTGCCTGATTAACACTTTAGTGGACAGATACTGAAATTCTAGCAGGCAACTAGCTACAATAATTTTAACTGACAGTGTGCATCCACTTCATTCACAGCTCTTTCCTTGTATCTCCTCAGAGAGGACAAAAAGAAACTACATGAGACTGTATGCTCGTGCAGCTAAGTACAAGGATTCTACTATACCTTACGTAGCACCCATATTATGTGGTTAGTTCTTTTAATATTCAGGTTTAAAACACCTGATAAAAGACTGTGTTACTGTTTTCACTACCCATTTGAGTTCTATATTTTGTTCAAATTTCATTTTCATGTAAATATTTGCAGAATAATTTGTTTAGCTATTCAAAAACAGCATCCTAGCAATAGTGGTTTTAATCGAGAATGGATAAAATCTGTTAAACCTGCAAATCATGATTTATTCAATTAATTTTATCGCATACTGTATGTAAAAGTGAAACATTTGAAAAATTACTTAGTGGCTGGTGGGTAAATTCAGAGTGTGCTTTCATCAAACATGAGACGCACTAAATCAATGTATTTGCATCCAGATGAGTCTTTATGTTCTAACTGAGCTAGCAACACACTACTGACAGCTTCATGTTCGTAAGTATCATCCACTAGGTTACTGACTACTTGACCCTTAAGTATAAGTTCGTATTACAGCATTTAGTCTTACACTGTTGACCTACCTGAACTAAATTTACCAGTTACTGTTTGAAATGCTTCGGTATCTGAATCAACGAGGGTTATACAATAGATAGTAATAGATTTTTTGGAGGTGACTATACATAGTTGACGAATTCCAGGTCGGATGAAACATCTTCTACACATAGGTAACGAAAACGAAGTCGTGCTTACTAAGGCTATCACCGTAAGGATAGTTTTCAGACCTCCTTAAAGAGTAGAATAGTATGGCTATAAATTCTTCTTTTAGGCAAGAAAGTGTTGTCATTTCAGTTCGTTTAGGGACCAAGCAATCTCAAGATGGTTAGATTAACACATTAAGATGTGACGTAATCGTTTATTTAGTATTGAGGTGTGTGATGAAGCGTGTATTTTGTTTTTCCAACAGTGATAAACTTGGCTGCGTAACAGGTTATACCGGTGACATGTCTAAGCCTTTGTCTCAAGACTCTACTGCTTGACTTCTGTCTATACATCAAAGCAATATGAATTCATTTTCAGGAACTGAATACAGAGCAGATTTCCTCAAAGTATTTCTGTCAGTATTCTTATATCTTTATAGAAATCATCTCATGCACAAATAGGGTGGATCCTATTAAACAAGCATTTTAGGAGAGAGCACTTGTACCATATTGGACAAAAGCTGAAGAGATTCAGATGTTCTGTCTGTTTAGGCTTTCTTTAAATCAGCTGTCCCACCGAAACATCTCTTCGACTGGAGAGTATATCTAAAAATGGTGTAATTATTATTTTATCTCTCACTTGTTTAGGTTGATGTGATTTCGGACAAACCAAATTCATATGCTCATCAAATGTACCCGTCATGTGCAGCCGAATTTTAGCGATTAGATCCCCAGCCAAATTTCTGACATGTAACACATAAAGTTCAGCTGAAGGTTAGCCAAACAGACTAACCAAAGCAAAACGGTCAACTTGTTGAAAATGCTTATCTTCAAAAATGCAAACATTTTATCAGTACATTACCACTATGGCTCCTTCAAACTAGTTTAGGAAATTGGGAATAGGATGGAGGTAAAGTATACGTAGCCATAAAGATTGCCAATAGTCATGCATGTTGGTTCAAAAAAAACCAACATCGAAGAAGTACATAGCCTTATTTTGATATTAATGTCACTAAGATAATCAACAAGTTCAAAAGTATCTTTCAAGGAAAACTTACGGATTAAACTTAACATTTTTGTGGACGACTTCGCAAGTTTATGCGTCGCAGAATAACAGAGACAATAAGTGACAAAACGGGTTGTTAGCTTTATGAAACATCAGTAATACATTCACCTTAGGAAATTAGGCCCCGTAG